TACTAAAGATAGTGTAAATAGTTAACTACATAAGTAAGATTTGAAAATTCTAGATCTACAAAATCAAGAAACCCAGATGTGAAAAAATAGCGAACAACGACATAATACTGAAGAAAAACGAGAACAATAAACATAACATAAATAGTAGAAAGAAGCGGAAGAAAACCAGATATCAAAACGGTACCCGGCACAAGTACTTGGCAGGCGAAAAAATCAGCAATGTTATGGAAGGTGATGAACCGGAGAAAACGAGGGATGGTAGAGCTTCGTCGTAGAAAACGAAAGGAGCAATAAGATGGACGGATAGGACCTCGCCGTAGAAATAGAGAGTAGAGAATTATGTGGATGTCTGAAAATGAAATTGAGTTTCCAATAGTTGAGAGATTTTTTGAAATGAGATTTTCTGGATAAGTTTTGAAAGAAAGAGAATCAATTCAAAATTTTTTTTAAAAAGATAAATAACTCAACTAAATGTTTTGTAGCAAAAGTTATGGTGGTGTTGAAAATAGAAATTGTCAAAATCTATAAAAGTTTTATTAGTGTGGTTTAAAAGAACAGGTGTTGTTTAAATTTGATGAAAGGGTTCGATGTCTTTGCTCACGATTAAAAAAATGGGTTTTAATCTACCTAAATAAGATTCTGGAGAATGTTATCCCACCTAATTTCCCTAATTCTAATCCGTATGAATGTATAATACACATGCATGCATCGTCTTGTTTCTTTCTGTCTAATATATATATAGAGAGAGAGAGATATTAAAGAATAAAAGAATAAAAGTACAAACTGAGGACGGAGAGAAACAACCATTGGATAAAAGCTCTACATCGAAACAAAGGAACCTCTGAACTTATCCAAGAGTGGCAGTAATTGTTAGGAAATTGGGAATCAAACTAATTTTATAATAGTGATATTTTTTTCTTACATTTGTTGCTGTTTGTAGAATTTTTTTTTTGGTTCTAAAATAAAAACATAGAGACAGAGAGAGAATGAGCTGGGAAGCACGTGCAACAACGACAGTGCAGGGTTGACTGGAGACAGTAAGGTCGTGTGGGGACGTGGAGGCGCACTGTTCTCTAGTCTCTACACACGCGTGTACCTCACTTCCTCTCCGCTGGTACACGACGCCGTTTTTATGTGAGAAAGAAAAAAAATCATACTCCCTCTATTTTGCAATAGAATTTTCAATACAAAATTTAACACAAAATATCTAATACAGACGTTTTAAGTTGAATATTGTTCGGATCTTCAATTCTTCATCACAGTAAAGTTAAATATTGATCGGATCTTCAATAATTCATCACAGTATTGCAAAACTAATACAATGAAAAAGAACACCATATGTTCTCAGTATGAAGAAATGAAGTAAAGCGTGAAATACAAATTTCTTTCATAGTCAGCAAATAACGATAAAATTTCTATATTTTCTTTTACGTAAAATTTATTCATAGTTTGGAGGGAATTTGTAGTTTTGTTAATTTTCTTTAAGAATGTTTACATTATGTGCACTTTTACATCGATCGGGTGACGACCATATATATAAACATGTTACCCTTGTTTCAAAAAAAAAAACATGTTGGACAACATTGCACGACTATTGACAGTAATTGTAATTGACGAAAATAAGTAACAAATTGGATCCAAAGAGAGAAGAACTTTGTTATAAGAAAAATGAGAGAACAAAAATGCTGCAATTTTAGTGATATTTTAAGTGTTTGAACATTTAGGAGAACAACAATAAAAAATAACCTTTTAGAAATCTAATTCTCAACTGCTAATTGCTAATTATTTTATAAAAAACTGCTAATTGCTACTGTCAATTCTAAATGATATAGTGATTGGTAGCATGTAAAGTGTAAACGTCAAACCTCGTTGTCTATGTGTCAAGAGGTCACCAGTAAAATATTAATTTAGCCAAGGAATAGAATATCAGAAACCTTTTATTCTAGAAAAATTGATGAAAATTGTTGTGGTCACACTCATTTCTTCACTATGAGAGGATAAAGGGTACGTGTCGAGCAAAAGAGCAAATTGTCTTATGAGTTGCCTGGAATATAAAATTTTATAATCAAGCATTACCTAATATTGATTCCCATAACACTATGTCTAATTGTCTATACAGCTACCTACGTTACTACGTACGTGCGTGTGTGAACTTACTATTAGATAGATATATGTACAATTGGAAAAATCGAAATTTGCAATGAGTTTTAAAAGTAATATACATTACTCCTAATGGATCCAACAGCTCTTTTCTAAATCGGCACAAACCACAAAATATACATAATATGTACATAACAATGTTTTGAAAATCAACGGTCGAACCAAAACAAATCCAATTCGGTTTATCCTTCAAAATTTAGAAAAAATATAGTGTAAACAAAATAGGGAGAAAACAAAAAACGGAGTGTGTAAAAAGTGTGGTGAGAAAACGATGGAGGAGATCTAGGACGAAGCTGGACCAGCTTCGAAACACTCCTGTCTTCATTCTTTGACCTTTGACTCGCACCATTACCACATGCATGACTCTGACAATATTTTTGAGATCTATTTATACATCGGTTTTGGACGAACTACGGTTTAATAATAGAGTTCACAAGTTTTGGTATCAACTTATATAACAACACGTCTTATTAGATCAGGCACTAATACACTGCCGCATCCTCATTGTTTTCTTTTACTTGTCATCAATCAGTTGTTACTTTTTCTAATCGCCTTTTATTTGCCACGCTCAATCTAATTGCCTTTAATTTTCTTACAATTATAACTGCCATCTTCAAAGCTACACCTGATTCACCTCCCTCAAGAAGTATAATATGTGCACTTGATTGTTTTTTTTTTTTGTTCTAAGAATTTTGGTTTTCGTTATATATTCATCCGCTATAATCAAGTAGATTTTGTTTTGTTTGGCTGAGATTTATAGTTTTCTTACAAAGAACTTACTGTTCTAGACTCATAGAAATCTTAAGCCTAATGCTTTTTTTTTTTTGCTAAGAAACATACGTATATAAAGCGACTATTCTGAGATTTAAATTATAATTTCAAAACTATAGTTACTTTTAATTTTCCTTTGCGTTAAAGATTCTTTATTTCACCGGGATAGTATTGGACAAGGTATAAGACTGCCAAAGCATTAGACAAAAAACAGAAACAGAAACAAAAACACTCACAAAAAGCTTCTGAGCTGTTCCCATGAGGGCAATGCAATGACAGGAAGATTCTGCCCTTTTGTTCATCACTTTAATGTCTGCAAATATAAAATTAAAATTCATTACAATTAAAAAATAAATTAAATCAGAAGAAAGATCAAATATTAAGGTCCAAGTCCACCTCCCGGATTTATTTTGATTTCAATGTATTTGTCGTGGAATATTTGTCTAATTCGTTCGTTAGTTTCCTTTTAGAAAACAGAAACCTCCATTGACAAAAAATAAAATTAAAATAAAATTTAATTATTCACACTTTTCTTTTGGTATAGTGTATCTACACATTGTTTTGCAACAAAAGTTTGTTTCAAAATGTGACTATGCTGGCTAGTTTCATATAAATTGATAGCTGCAATTTAGTAGACGACAACTTTGTCAAAAGTCATCGTTGAAGTTTCGATCCTACTCAACGCCAACACATTAACTTATCTTAAATTTCACTACTTTGAATGTTTGCAAATCTTAAACGAATAATTGAGTGAAGTCTACATTTTCAAGCGCCATATCGAAATTGATCTATGGTTTCCAAGCGACTACTAAAATATATAGTTATTGACTTATTAATCAATGCTTGACGAGCTAAAAGTTACTAACTACTAACTAGTTTTTGACTCATATGAATTGGAACTATAGAGTAGCTAATCTATGACAACTTTTGTCCCCAGCTAGTTTTGTAAAATTATGTGTTACTAAAAATGTTATTCTATTATGGAAAAAAAAAACAATGAACAAACTGAGACTAGTAAAATAACAAAATTCCTTCTTGTCCAACTTGTGAGATGTTTTATCTTCTTTTATTTCGTAAAATTAATTGCTTTTATTTTATTTTGTATGATTGTTACTTGTTGTTAACAAAAAGAAGTATATTGCATAGTTGTTACTTTCTTCAATCAGACGTGACTTTGCGAAAAATATCCATTAAGACGGTAAAAACTTTTAAATTAGAACCAAAGTCCTCTATCATAGAGTGTCTCTTTCATTCGGTAAGTTCCATTAGATCGATATGAAATTCCTAACAAAAAAGGTGTCATCCGATATGAAATTCCGGTAAGCAAAACAAAACAAGGGAAATAGTGCCAATTTTTCCAAAACAAACATTTGTTTTTCCCATTAAAACGGTAAAAACTATTGCTATTGGAGTAAAAAGGGTTACTAATTGGATAGATTGTTGAGAAAGAAAATGAGAGCTTCAAAAGATGCGTGCAAAAAAGGATGGGTTTCTTACTAATACGTGGATGAAAAAGAGTCAAAGTTTTTGCCGTAAAAGAAAAAACAGTCAAGCTTTTAGATTTGGTTGTATTATTATGAGTGATTATCACGGGCTTTGATGTTAACACAAGTAAGTGGAAGTTGTCTTGTGGCCCCATCATCGTTTCTAGTCTTTCGCAATTCACTGATTTAGTTTGACCAAATTCCATTATTTTTATAGAAACAAAATCTACAACACACAATAAATCTAAGATCTTATTTTTGGTATATACACATCACTGTTTTGGATGGTGGTTGTGGCCTTGTGGGTAGTGATTAAAAGCGATCGTAACTTGAAGCTTGCGATTCAAAAAAAGTTTGAATGTCCTGATTCTTCATAATTGTTATTTATGTATACTTATCGAAACGCTGAGTTTGAGCTTTGTAAATATGGAATTTCTGAAAAACAATTATTCACGATTTCAAACTACTGTGGTTATTTTTGTCAGAAAATAATAGGCCCTGAATTTATATGCTTTAATTTTTTTTTGGAATATTCAGTTTAATTGCTCCACTTTAAATTGTTACAAACGATCTGAAAAAATACTCGCATCAAAGTGTATAAATTGTATGCTATGATTTACATAAATCTTCAGCTTCACTTCTAAGATGCGACTTTTCTCCCACAAGATATGTTTACGTAGATCATGGCATCTAATGATGTTCAATTTAATTTTCTAATTAAAATTTAACAGCAAGAGTTTTTTTTCTTTTTCCTTACCATATTTGTTTAAATAAAAATGCCAGCGGGTAACAAAGTTTATATAAATGACACACGTGTGGGCTCATAGCCAGATAAGGTCGTTTCCTCATACTCAGACTCACAACAATCTACCTTTCACCTTCTTCTTCTTCTTCTACCTCAGACTTTGCACTCTCTCTGAGTTTTTTTTTTCTCTGTAATATTCGAAATTCGTTTTTTTCCGATCGTTTAAATGCCGAGGAGTTTAGAGCCGTTGGATCTCGGAATTCAGATTCCGTACCATTTCCGGTGTCCAATCTCACTGGAGCTGATGCGTGACCCGGTCACCGTCTGCACCGGTCAAACCTACGACCGAGCGAGCATCGAGTCATGGGTCTCAATCGGCAACAACACGACCTGCCCGGTCACACGAGCTCCTTTAACCGACTTCACACTCATCCCAAACCACACTCTCCGCCGCCTAATCCAGGAATGGTGCGTCGCTAACCGCTCCAACGGCGTCGAGCGAATCCCTACTCCCAAACAACCCGCCGATCCAACCTCCGTTCGTGCTCTCCTCAGCCAAGCCTCCGCCATTTATGGACCTCACGTCTCCGTCCGCTCTCGCTCCGCCGCTCTCCGCCGTCTCCGTGGATTCGCTCGCGATTCCGAGAAGAACCGCGTCTTGATCGCCGCTCATAACGCCAAAGAGATTCTGATTAGGATCTTGTTCTCCGATGACTCTCCGGAGGTCGTCTCCGAGTCGCTCGCTCTCCTTGTTATGTTTCCGATGACGGAACCAGATCAGTGCGTCTCGATCGCTTCGGATCCGGGTCGGGTCGAGTTTCTGACCCGGTTACTGTTCGATTCCTCGCTCGAAACGCGCGTTAACGCCGCCGCGTTGATCGAGATGGTCTCGACGGGATCGAAATCGCCCGATCTGAAAGGAATGTTCTCGAATTCGGAATCTGTTTTCGAAGGAGTTCTCGATCTTCTCAGGAATCCGATTTCTTCGTACCCGAGACGAGCTCTCAAAATCGGAATCAAGACCTTGTTCGCGCTCTGCCTTCCGAAAAACACGCGTCACATCGCCGTCTCCGCCGGCGCGCCGGAGATTTTAATCGACAGGCTCGCGGCGGATTTCGACAGGTGCGATACGGAGCGAGCTCTAGCGACGGTGGAGCTGCTTTGTCGACTGCCGGAGGGATGCGCGGCGTTTGGTGAGCACGCTTTGACGGTGCCGCTTCTCGTGAAAACGATCCTGAGAGTTTCGGATCGAGCGACGGAGTACGCGGCGGGGGCGTTGCTAGCGCTTTGCACGGCGGAGGAGAGGTGGAGAGATGAGGCGGCGGCGGCGGGAGTGGTGGTTCAGTTGTTGCTGATAGTGCAGAGCGAGTGTACGGAGAGGGCGAAGAAGAAGGCACAGAAGCTATTGAAGCTTCTGAGAGACTCGTGGCCTGACTACTCCTTCGCTAACTCCGATGACTTCGTTTGCAGCCAAGTGGTCCCCTTCTGATTTTCTTTCTTTTCATTATTATTGTTTCACAGTAATTATTTTTTTTTAGTCTTTTTATTTGTTTATTTTTAAAAAATTAGTAGCAAAGGAAAAAAAGAAAACACGGGATGTGGTCATTTTTTTGTTCTGTTGTGTGTATTTGATGGAAAGTTGTGAAGAAACAAAATACACACAAGATTTTTGATGACCTTAAATTAGGTTTTTTTTTGTGGTATATATTGGTTTTTATTGTTTTTCTGTATGTAAGTAATGATTTCTCTTCTTATTGATTGGCTTTTTGAGTTGGGAAAAGTTGTTAAAAAAGCAAATGGAAGAAGATATGCTAAAGCCTTAAAGTCAAGTTATCCCTTCGTTTTCCATTTTTAGTCTAAAGGCCATTCAACTTTTTGCACTCCAATATTAAAATAGGTTATAATACCTTATTATACTGGTATCGACCTATTGGGTGCCAAGTTTCTAATGAAATGTCATTATAGTATTTTCTACTTTTTTAAAAAAAGTATTTTCTGCTTTATATTGAGCTCTTGTTAATTTATCTTTCTTCTAATATCGTCTTTATGGTGTTTTCCACCATTTCCTTTTTCTCGTTGAAAGGGTTAACATTTCAACTAGACTCTGTTTTATGGACCCAAAAACTACTTTATGGTTAGAAATCATTGATTTGGCTATATGGTCAAACACTCAAAACTCGCAACGATTCAATGCAGTTTGGACAAAACATACATTGATTGTTTCAGCACAGCAATAATCCTATGGAAACAAAAACAAACTGGGCTAAGACATTGGGTCTTGGCTTAATAGTTCCAGCCCAATAAAGTAGTCTCAGAGGAAATTACATAAGACATTAATTCAAAAACTAATTACCAAGCTGGTTCAACTAATTAAATATGACCCAAACAACTTAAAGAGATTACAGGTCACCTCTTTTCCTTTTGCCTCCTGGTGGCTCGATTTGGAGTCTCCATTTGGTTGTTTGGCTATCGGTTCCCTCGCGGTTAAGGTTCTTTGCCTTGGTTCTGTGTTGTGGTCGGAATACCAATTCAAAAAACAAACCGGGCTTAGAGATTGGGTCGTGGCTTAATATCTCCAGCCAGTAAGAAATCCTCATAGGAAATTACATAAGACACATTTACCTCAAAAACTAAATTCCAAAAGCTAGATGACTTGAATCCATATCAAAAGCTACATGACTTGATTCAATTCTTGTACAAAGAATATTGACTCTCAAATAACCTACTACATGATATCCTCCAACTTACAACTTGAAAAATGCAACCCAAAATCTGAATAAGCCATCCTTGTTACAAACTTCACACCTTGTTTTCTATTTTGACGATCAAAATTATTGTTTAGTGTATTTTACTAATTGAATTTAAATAGATTTTGTATGAAACTGTGAGAAATCTATAGACCCATGGTCCATAACTGTTTTACGAGGAGTGGCTTTTTTGTTTTGTTTTTCATTTGATTCAGATGGTAAAGAAGAAAACAGTGTAACGCAATTAAAACCTCAGCGAATTACGTGGATTGAAGACATTCCGTTTTATTATATTAAATCAGCAAATAGTCTAAACCCCATTACATCTCATAGACACAAACATACATTACACACAATCAGTTCGCTGTTCACTCAATAACATACCACACAAACAAACAAAAACCCTTAGTATAAAAACTTTTATCTTCGTTTTTTTGTATCCATCATATAGTCAAGGCAAGAAATTTCTTGCTGCTTACTCTTTTCCTCCTGAACAACAATTTCTTCAAGAACCCTAATCCTTGCTTCTTTCTTGGAACCATCTCCATCTTCTCACCTTTTGCCTTCACTGGTTCATACACGATCAATGCATTGTAATTTTTACCATCATCATCATCTTCATCATCACCATGAGTATCTCTCTTGTTATCATCCTCTGCTTTGTTGGATGACTCTTTTGCCGTTGAATCTTGTATATTGTCCCGGAGTGAAGATCTTTTGTGTAGAAACTTCACTTTGCTGCATGTTTCTGTTGTAGATAACGCTCTTAGTTGCTTCCGTAAATTGGTAATCGTTTCTTGACACTCTGATAACTTCACAGAAGCTGCTTCTGTATCCCATCCCTTCAAAAAAAGGAAAAAAAAAACTCCATCATCATCATCAAACGCCAAAATTTGATATTGTAGTATGATGAACTCTGGTTTTCTCTACTCACGTTTTTGTTTCTCTGCATCGAGTTCTTCGTTTCAACACTGCAAAAACTCATAAAACGGTGATGAATTTTCTATAACAAAAGGAAGTCATGTTGAAACTTTAGATGTGATTCTGGTTTTGCTTACCTTTCTAACTGAAGCTGAAGCTCGATGCAAGTTCCTTCAAGCTCTTCACAACAGCTCTTTCTGTAATCAATTTCTACTTCAAGAGATGACAACTTCTTCTGTGTCTCGTTGAGCTTAGCTTTGGTTATGTTCAGCTTTGTATCAAGATCTTCTTTCATCGACTTTTCTGTTTCAATCTCAGCCTCTACCTTCTCCTTACCCTCTCTCAACGCTTTGATCTCTAGCTCTAAGTTTCTGATCTTCTCCTCTGATTCCTCAAGCCTATCTCTCAGTTCTTGCCTCTCATCGCTTTCAATTTTCACAACCTTATCTGCTGTTGTTAGACCCAAATGTCTCTTGATCTCATCCTTTGTCATTGGACCTGATTCCACTGGAGATTTCCATGTGATGCAGAGAGGATCTTCTTCATCTTTATTGGTCTCTGCATCATCATCCATACATCCTAAAGCAATCTTGATGTCTTGTAATAGTTCTTTGACACCGCGTTTTGATATCCTCTCTTGCTTTGATATAGCGCTCAAAACAACTTGAATCCAATCGAAAGATCCTTCCTTTTCATCATCCTCTCTTGTATCTTTCTCAGAACAAACAATGGCTAACTTCTCCATCTCATTAAAATCATCCATCAGAAACTTCATCTCCTTCGAACCAGAGGGACTAATCACGCTGTTTTCACTTCTAATATCGAAACCTGAGACCTCTAACGGTTTCTGCCCTCTGCTAAGATCTTTGATCTCCATGTTTTTCCTCATGATTATGTCCATAAGATTCTTGTTTTCTGCCCTAACATTCCCAATTTGCTCCATCAAAAGATCATACTTAAGCTTCCGGCTCTGAACTTCATCTCGCATCATCAAGTCACTCTTGTTCGCGCTTCTTCTTTTCATCTCCATCTTCCTTTCTTCACCTTCATTCCTCATCGATATAGACCTCTCCGGGAACTTCTTTCGAAACAAAAGTCTTAACCTTTGGCATTCAGCTTCAAGCTCCACAATCTTGTTCACGTTTCTTAGTTGTTGTTTATGAGTTAGCTCCATAGACTTGCGAGTATACTCTGTTTCCTCTGTTTTTACCTCAAGATCCTTCTCAAGAACAGTATACTCATATCTCAAGAACGCGTTTTCTTTCTCTGTCGAATCTAATCTATTCATTAACGCTTCGAACTCTGACTCCACCTGAAATTTACGCTCTTGTAAGCTTACAGCGAGCTCTTCTTTCGCCACAAGAGCCTTCTTAAGCTGAGTGTTTTCAGCGGCTAAAGTATGAATTTTTCTCCTCATCTCAAAATCATCGTTTGCAGATTCTTCTTGGCTCTCTTTCTTAGTTTCAGTTGACCTGAAATTGTGGTTACCGAGTCTCTTTGCCTCGTGATCTCTCCCAAGAAGCTCGATTCGCTGCAGAAGCTTATCAGATACACCAGAAAAAGGCGATGAATCTCCATTCCTCAACCCAAATTCAAGACTCATTTCTTCATCTCTCAGGAAAATCTCATCTGCTACACCTTTTTCACCGTTAAGAGTCACACGAGGATCTTTCTTAGCAGAGTTTAAGGCTACAGTATCAAGCTTCTCGTTTAGACTTTTTCGAGCTCTCTCGGGTCTAATTCCATTTGGTGGAGGAACCGTACGTGCCTAAATAACAAAATCATCAGATACGAAGCTACGGAAGTTGAAAAGCAATACATAGACAGAACATGAGCAGAGAACGTTAATAGCAAATTTATTACCAAGTCTGCAAAAGTTTCTTTACCTGTCCTCTGATGATTCTTCTAGAAGGAACTTGGAGTGTTTCTGCTGCAGATTCTACCTTCTTCTTCGATCGCCATTGGTTTGCATCCATTTTTTTCTGTAAGATTCTCTTCTGCAACACGTTTAAAAGAGAATAGATCATAAACTTAAACATCAAACGACATTTGACTGTGAATAATCGGAGAACAAGACCTAAGAAGATATAAACTATCAAAGGAAGGTTTGGATGCAAGATTCTTACATAGTCTTATGTAGTTCCCAGCATTAACAAGTTTCGGACTAATCTCTGCAACAACAAAAGAAGAAGAAGATGAAAGAAGAAGGGAGATAATTCTTTACAAGTAAAAGTGGGAGAGAGGCATGGAGTGACAATGTGGCAGTGATCTTAATTGTTTACGTTTCAACTTATAAATAAGCATTAAAGTAACTAGCGGCGTTATTAAATTGTTATACATTCTGAATTATAGTACAAAGTTTTATGAAGAAATTGTTTTAAAACTGTCTTTTCATAATTTTTAGTTGTTTACTACAGAATCAATCATCAAAAAAGTTCCACCCCATTAATAATACTAATTGCAACGCCTAACCATCATTTTGTTTTTGCATTAGACTTAATATCTACCCATATATGAAAGGGATAGGAAATGTTAAAAAGAATATCTGAAAATTAATTAAGGCGTTAAATTAAGTCCACAAGACACTTAGTGCTACTACTACCTAATGATAGTGACATTTGTCTTGTAGCTTCGTTCTTCGATAATTACTTTTGCCATCTCTTCTTTACGTGGTTTTCTTTATTTTTTTTTAGGTTCTCATTTTGCATAGGTTTATAACAAGTATTATTTAGATGATAATAAGGAAACAATTCCAACGGTACTAGGAAAAAAAGTAAACATTTCCAACATTAGAATCTCAACAATTCTGATTATTGTTGATCAACAAGATATAGAAGAGATGACCGAAATATATGAAAAATGTTTGGCCTAAAAATCGATTCTACCTACTTTCATTATTTGTGAGAAAAAAATATATAACTAATCATGGTTAGATAATCCACTAAGTCACTAACAAGACAAGTATTATTTCTATCTTTCCTTTTTCTTTTGTTTATATTTTTTTTGTGGAGGGCCATAGGATTCCAAATGCTCTCCAGCCTCCACCGACAGTTTGAAGTTTTTTACTACTACAATTCTTTAATTAGCCATCATGTCATGTTGAAAAGAATAGTAGCAAAAAAGTTCACAAAAATGGAATAGAGAAGTGGGGGATTAGTAAAGCCAAAGGAGACGTTACATATTTATTTTTGGGGGTCCATATAGTTTCTGTGAACTCTATAAAAAGAATAAAGCTAGGATTATAAAACTATGAAGAAAACTTACATGATTTCCACTTTACGCCGTTGGAATGAAATATTTCTTAATTGTTTTGTAGGGAAACAAACCACAATGATCGTTTTGTTGGCCATAAGGACTTATTACGATTTGTTATATTTTTTCTTAACAGCACCTTGTGAGACCAAATTTGATCAAGCATCCAAGTACTAATGATATTAAGTTGATCTTATGAGTCAATCGGTTAAATGGTTACTTAAAAATGTAAATATCGGACTAATCAGCTCTACAATTGGTTCTATCAATGAGTAATGGTCGTAAGGCACTTTATTCGAAAAATTGATTATAGATGAAGCTATATAGTGATCCAAGCCAATTATCTAATCAAAGATTAAAACAAGCTATATGTATGTTCTTTAGCCAGAACATAGCGAATCAAAGAATTAATTATGAAGCCAGATAAAAGATAATTCTACTGTTCAAAATTTTCGACCAAAGCTTTATCAACTTTGATCATCAAAGACAAGACAAAATGGAACCAGACTAGAAACTCAGCTCTGTACTGGTTTGGTCGACTTTTGACCCACCGGTAAATCATCGATCCAGTCTCCATAGATTCGATTAATCTTCTTGGAGTCGCTCCACTTGAGCAAACACTTCTTTCGACGCCCTTCATCGTTAAGGCCAGAAGAATCTGCTGTTACTTGTGCAGTTGGTTTCATTGCAAATGCTTCATTTGCAGGTGCCACCGTTTGTTTAATCACAGACGCTACTGCGTTCACAGCTTCTCCATCAACCCTTCCAAGAGAATTATGCAACTCTGAATCGACAACCAAATCAGAAACAAAAGATCACACACAATCCTCACGTATCGGTTGAAAATGAGAGGATTTTGGAGATAGTATCAATACACAGGACATGCAAAACCATTCAAGGGGTATTATAACATGATGTCGTATTAGCAAAAGGATAAATATGTTCGAGGATAACATTTAGCATACCTGCTTGGCCATGAGCAAAGCTGCAGTTATCGCCAAAAGGACATTGACCAATCTCAAACTTCATACACAACCTCGTCTTCCAGAACTTGACACCACCATTACTGTTAATAGGTGCAGGTACAGGGATGCCTCCTTGTCTATTTACATCGATTTGGTTATAAGCAGTAGTACCATTCTCAACACATGGTGAATCAGCAACACTAGTACCAACGCTTATCACCGAGCTCTCCCTCGGTTTTCCAGACTCCTCACGAAACTTTGAAAGATCCTCATGAATGAAATTGCACCTCTCCCCATAAGGACACTCCTCACCGAAACAAAACTTCCTGCAAAGCTTCATCCTCAGGATTATCTTCTGATCATCTTCCCAATTATTCCCAACAGAGACAGAAGACGGTCTCTCCCTTTCCCTTTCCCTCTCCCTTTCCCTCTCTCTCTCCCTGTCTTGAACAGGAGGTCCAACAATCTCCTGCCAATTCGATGGAGGCTGCCTCAGATCCTCGATTCCATGAGCAAAATTGCAAAGCTCTCCATTCCTACAAGTCCCTGCCTTGAATTTCGCACACATTCTCGTCTTGTAGAAAATATTAGCCGTCCCTTTGTTGACAGGAGGAGGGTTTAACGATGGAACCATCGAAGGGTTGTTGTTGTTACTCGTTGGAGGAAACGACGAAGCCGGATTAAACAAGTTATCGTCGACAAGTCTTGGCCTTTTCAATGAAGGCTGTAACTGCTGAGGAGGCTGAGATTGTGACTGTGACTGTGACTGTGATTCAGATTGTGAGTGCAAGTCGACTTGTTCGTTGTTCATCGGATTAACCATCGAATCAATCATCTGAGTTTGATTCCAACCACCATAAGGCGATTGCACGAACATGGGACGAGAATCAGAGTAACTAGAATCCATTACTGTAAAACAAGAAGAAGAAAGTCGAATTCTGTGATTACAACCATGTGTATATAGCAGACTAAACACAATTCCATCAACTTCTCGATTACGAAACTACGAACGGTTTCAATCGCGATTATACTAATGAACTATACTACACTAGAGATCGAAATGCTCGAAACTACGCAATACGAAAATACGATTTGGTCACAGATATCGAGTGGATCAGCGAAAGGGAGAGTAGAACGAATTACGTGAGAAGACAGGGTTTGAGCAATACCAGGATCAACGATGGCGGCGGCAGATTTGGGAGACGAAACGCGATTTAGGGTTTTTGAACATCTGATATAAATACCTTTTTTCTTCTCTTTTCTCTTTTGCATTAAGAAACTGAATTCATTTAAGAGTAATTGCAATAAAGAGTAATAGATGTTATCAAAATTAAGAGATACCTTTTGAGTGTAAGTCCCATAGAACTATTCACTATAAAAAGACTATATCACCCTTATTCTCCAAAATTTTACTATATCACAGTTATCACGATAATTTTTTAATTATTATCAATATTCTAAATAAATTACTGTTAGTATACATATTATACTGATATTATTGTTAATATTTTATATAAATTATGTATAAATATAAATATTATCGTTATATTATTGTTAACGTGCTATATTTCTCGATTATTAGTGTTAATATTTTATATTTAACAAATATTATTGTTAATATGTTAATATTTTATTACAAAATTTTAGAATTATCACGTTATAATTATCTGATATATTTGTTAATATTTATAATTATCATATATATTTGTTAATATGTTAATATATTATATGATAACAAAGTTAACACAAATTTATAGCGATAACTTTCATATTTAACACAAACTTTCATATTTATAGCGATAACATGTTAATATTTTATTACAAAATTTTGAAATTATCACGTTATAATTATCTGATATATTTGTTACCATTTATAATTATCATATATATTTGTAAACATGTTAGTATATTATATGATAACAAAGTTAACACAAACTTATAGCGATAACTTTCATATATTTTATGTTAACTAAATAGTTATCTAATAATAAAAAATATCTTCTCTTAGATGAATAGTATCAGCGATGATGAACCGTATCTACAGTAATGCCATGTGCAAAAAAAAAGACCAATGGTAATTTATGTAAATAAGTAAAGTTAAAAGGATAGTAATGGATAAAACAAAAAATTCTCTTTGTTACTTACCTAATTATTAATTTATGAATGTTATATATTTAATTTTTTGATTAACCATTGATATAGAATAAATTCACTCTTTATTTAATTACTTAATCTCTATGCTCCTAGTTATTTTGTAAAAGGAAATTCCAGTAATACAGACATTTGTCAACATATACTGTATGTTAAGTTATTTAATTACTGTAGATCTTATAACAATAAGTTAGCAAATGTATCTCATAAGTCATAACACTGAAACGTAGGTTGCCAAAATAAAATATTTGGATAAATCTCTTGTTATGGTTGGTTTAGTATTTAGATTTGTTTGTACTTTTAGAATTTAGAATTTATTTTAAGGTTGCCAAAATAAAATATTTGGATAAATCTCTTGTTATGGTTGGTTTAGTATTTAGATTTGTTTGTACTTTTAGAATTTAGAATTTATTTTATTGGAAAATTGAAGATATCTCCAAGATATTTTACTTAAAAAGTCAAAAAAACTTGTGTTAATCAAATTACACAATGAGGAAAAAGAACAAGAAAATTCTGATGTTGTCTACGACTACAAGTCATAAAAACACATTATATTATATTTGAATCCGGATAAAATAAAAAAGATTTATATAACTCTTACTCTCCTAGGTGGCATACTCCGGTCAACGCTTTTAAAGTTAACAAAATGTCGGTAAAAAGAAGAGATCCCAACAAAATAGATCGAACTATTGTCATTAACCTCATATAAATAAAAGTAAAAAGAAGAGTGTAAAATTCTTGGTAAAAAGTAAAAACTATATACTTAGATCTTGAGCCTTGGAGCTCGTATGTTTCTTGCTCTAGTAACCGCATTTATAAGGGATTCTAGACTTGTTCCTGTCAATTGGAGATCCAACCACTCATATTATTTATTTGGACAAAACCAATATATTCATCTGTTGATAATTTTCCATTACAACATTGACTACATTAACAATGATGATACTATCTGAATTTCTTATTTTGAAACAAATAATGAAGATTCAAAACTCAACAAGGAGCATAAGTAAAAGCCAAAGAAACACATCACAACTTAGCCTTGAGAAAGGAGGCTTGGAGCTCGTAAGCTTCTTGCTCTAACATCTTCTCTTGTTCGGGAATCCAGTCCCCTAAAACATCAATTGCCTCCTCCACCTTGTCTTTGAGGGCTTCCGGTGATTCTATCAAATGAAGAATTTCGGTTTGTTCTATTTCAAGAAGCATTCCAGTGATTTTATCTGCAAAAAATGGCTCAAGCCTTTCCACCAAAGGGTACAAAAGCTCACCAAGCATCTACAAAATATAACCAAATTGTATCTCAAAATATAACCTAATTGTATCTCAAAATAACTACATTTTAAAGAAAATAAAATCAGTTTTTACCTTTTGTTGTTGTTCAGGAGATAGGTTTACAAGTGCATTAGCTAAAGTAGCTACATCCATAGGAGATTTCCGGGAAGAGTCAACACATGAGTAGCGATCATTAAAAAAATTAAAAGAGATAAGAGGAAGCATGATTTAAGCAATGAGGCGGCGGAAGATTGAGAAGAAGAAATGTGATTTAGGAGGATTACTGAACAGGGCTACTTTGTTATATAACAAAAACAATTAGCTTATTTAGGTAACCGATTCTCATTTTTTCAAGAATTAGAACTAACATATATTTTTAACCATGCGTGTAAAACACGCGCCAGACAAAGATGGCATAATATCTTGTCACATATGCTATGTTTTGAATAGCATATGGTTTAAATAATGTAAATTTATTAAATATGGTTCTAATTTTTAAAATTTTTTTGTATATATATATATATATATAACGTGGCATGAAATAGTTGGGTATTATAATATAATATATATGTGTAACAATTATTAAGTTATATTACATTAAAATTTGTGTGATGCTATGAGTTTGTATAAGTGATAATTGTATAAAACAGTGAGAATCGGAAATCTAAATTATAGATAGAATTGAAAATGGCATATATATAAATAAGTTTTTTTTCTTTGGCGCAGTTAAAAAAAAAATAAAAAAGAGAATATAAACTGCAATATCACTTTCAATTGCTATCCCGAAAAAATAAACTTAGTATACACTAATACACACTCGCAAACCGTTGTTAAAAAATGTACAACATTCCTCACGACCTCCGTTGTTGCCTCCGTAAATTTGGAGCCGTTACTCAGCAACACGGCCGATCTCTCACGCGCCTATTTGCGTTTATTCTCACGTGCTCGTTGGCGTTTATTCACAAGCGCTGATGAGCTAGGCTTAATGTCAAGTGTGTTTGGGCTTATAGAGGATTTTGAGTTATTTGCTGACTTTGTCACTGTCTTCAGGTGATCGGAGACAGGGTGTTTCGCCGGAGATAGGGTGTTTCGCCGGAGATTCATCTAAACCTCCGGATTTTTGCTCTTTTACACTTCTCAGGATCTCCATTGCCTCTGTGACTTTGGATTCGAGCAAATGAAGGACTTTGGTTTGGCCCATTTCAAGAAGCATTCCTGTGATCTTTGCTGCTGAATCTGGCTCGAGTTGTTCCACCATGGGGTAAAGTTTCTCACCAAGCATCTTCTTAAAAACATTTCATCTGTTAGAAAAAATAACACCTAAAAATGTATAATTATAAGGTAAACAAAACCTTCACTTACTGTTGTCTGCTTTACAAAAAGTGGAACACTTTATTGAAAGACGAGAGCTTTACAAAAAAGCACATCGCTGATCAAGCAAAAGCGGCAGTGGTGAGTTTCTGGGGATCATGGTTATGGCTTCTAGTGTTTATTTAACGAGCATCAATAATCGACGACAACTTTGATACATATATATAAAGCGACAAGGTAAAATAAGCCTAAACAATGCAAATCATCAAGTCGATATATCCACCAATATTATTTAAAAAGAACAGTTTGTGCGATCGATGCATGCGTTTTCGTCTAGTTCGATTTTGATACATGTTAGTGAAAGTCGACATTCAGTAACAATAAGTGTTATACCCAGTGCTCAAATATTCTGCTAGGCGCTAGGCGGGCGGCCGAGCTCCGACTAGCGCCGAGGCCGAAAATCGCTAATTAATCAGCGATTAATCAGTAATTAATTTTTAATTAATTTTTAATGATTTATAGATATTTTGTTAATTTCATTAGTTTTTTTTGGTAAAATTCACATATTTTGTTCAAGATAGATTTGATTATCCATCTAGTTTGATATTTAATATATAGAAACATAAAATAAAATGTAAATAAAACCAGTTTTAAACTTGAAATGTATAAATAAGTCAAGATCAAATGGACATAATATTCAAAAGAGAAAAAAAAAGTCCAATCACATGATGATACAAAAAAGAATAATGGTCTTGATTATGAGAATACCAAAAAAAAAACTTAAAGGACAACAACATCTTTATCCTTTCTTTCTCCAATAATCAAGTTATCATGTGTTTTGGACTTCTATGTCTTTGATCTTGTAACTTAGAAACCTGTTAAAAAAAAAAAACTTGTTAATGAAACATAAAAACTTGTAGACATTAGCCAAACCATCATAGACATTAGCCAATTAAGTAAACCAATTATCATCAACCAAACAAAGCACAAGAATATTGCAGACATTAAACCAAACAAACCAGACCATCGATACATCATCAAGCATAACTTAGCTTAGAAATCAAGACCAGCAAAAACAGTGCTTTGACTCAGCAAAAACAGAGCAATGCAAGCATCAAACGTAAAGAAACATCAAAAGAAACAAGCATTGCAAACATCACCAAAGCATAAAGAAACATCAAAAGCATCATGGAAAAAACCACAAGCATCGATATATTGAACAACAACACTTTAAAACTTACCTGATTAACTAGTTTTGGGAATCACGAAACAGAGGAACCTCTTGATATAAATCAGGTTCGAACTCCATGTCAATGGCATCTTCTGGTTCAGACTCAAAGTCATCATCATAGATGTCTCTTACCCGTGGAATTTGTGGCTAGAACAAAGTTGACTTCACTGTCTTGGTCTTCTAATCTTGGTCCAACAATCCATTCTTCTACGGTGTCTTCATTACCATCTTCGAAGATGGCATCTGCATTTTGCTCTCTGATCCTTTTTTGTTTGTTAAATAGCTTAGCATTAAACTGGACATAGACTAGACTGTTTAACCGACTAACATCTAGTCTATTCCTTTTTTTTTGTGGATCTGAAAAACAAACAAGACACAAGCGATTCAAAGCAGCTATAATATGAACTGTTACAAAACATTGTAAAGTGATATACTAACCGATTCAAAGCAGCTCCAATTTCTTTCACACCCAGATGAACTAGAGGTCAATGCAAGTATTCTAGTTGCTAACTTTTGCAGAGTTGGTGCACCACATCCATAGGTTGACCACCAGTTTCCTGTGTTATTGCAAGAGATGTTTTAAAAGCTAACCTAAACCCAAAATTCGAACAAAAACAATTAAGAGAACAAGTAGTACCTGGATCAAACTTGTCATATTTGGTTTCACAGCCTTTTAATGCTAACCGATTGCCAAACAAGCCAACTTTGTTCTTATAGAGACTAACTTCATAGAGACTAACTTCATTGGGTAATTTTTTAAAAACGCGTTGACTTTGCCAATTCCGCGGTTGACCGCCGAATTCACCGCACATGCCCTACTCGCGGCGGTGCTGCTCCGACTTGCGCCTAGGCGACCGCCTAGGCGGCCGCATTTTTGAACATGGTTTATACCTATGAGATAATGAGGGATTTCGCAGGTTGCATTATAAACAACTGAAAGTGGTCATGCAACTCTGGTTCTCTCTATTTACACGCCTCCCAAAAAAAAAAACTCTGGTTCTTCTTGTTTTTCGTGAGAGTGATTCGTCAAGGGGGATTCGACTTTGTACTAGGCTTTGCTAACAATCTTTGGTTCAAATAAAACTGCATGGGATATTTTATTCTACAGTGGGCTTTTGTTAAAACCATTAGACCAACACCTGTTTGTGCTTATCGTATAACTATAACAACAAATTTGTGGATTCAAACTATTGTTGTTGCAATGATGGAAGGAAAAATAAATAAATTGAAAGGTGAACGTTAATTCATATTTTTTGTTCATTTTGACATAAACATCATTATGTATAACCAAATCAGTTTAAAAAGAGTCATCATCATCATGTTGTTTCCCCTTAGGTATAACTTATAATTGCTCCTATCAATTGAAGCTTTAACCACCCCTGTTATTTCTTTGGACAAAACAAAACTGTTTTTATATGTTGACAGTTTTTCCCGTACATCATTGACTCCATTAAAAATAATGATAATATCTTAATTTTTTTTATTTGGAACAAAGCTCCTAAGCGTCTTGCTCTAGCAGCTTCTCCCGTTCGGGAATATCCACCGTACCGGTCAGTTCCCTAAAACATCAATTGCCTCTTTCACCTTGTCTTTGAGGGCTTCCGGTGATTCCAGCAAGTGAAGAATTTGTGTTTGATCCAATTCAAGAAGCATTCCTGTGATTTTTGCTGCGAAAATTGGCTCCAGCTTTACCACCCAAAAGTATAATAACTCACCAAGCATCTACAAAAGAGAGAATCTAATAAGGTTAAAGTACAAAAGAAAGAATCTAAGGTTAAAGAAAGATAAGCATATTGTATCTCAAAAATAACTGCAATATAAAGAAAATAAAATAAAAAAATTTACATTTCTTTGTTGTTTTGGAGGTAGGTTTACAAGTGTTTTAGCCAAAATAGCTACAGTAACAGGAGATCTTCGGAAACAATCATCACAAAAATGATGATCATGATTAAAATTGAGAGAGATATGAGGAAGCATGACTTAAGCGATGAGGGCGGCGAAAAATTGGGAAGAAGAAATGTAATTTAGGGTTACTGAACAAAGCTAGTTATATAACAAAAACAATGAGTCTATTTTTTATTTTTTATTTTTATAATCGTGGACATCCAAAGACTGTCTAGGCCCAAAAACTAATTCCACGAAACCTTGTATCCAGGTACACGTTTAGAATATGGCCAAATGGACTCGAATCCAAGAATCTCCCACTTGGAAGTTACCACTAAACCAAGACAACTTGGTTAAAAACAATGAGTCTATTAGGTAATTAACAGTAAATGTTTTATAATTAAGATGTAACATACATTTTCAACCGAGTACAATAGATAGTAACAGATAATGTTATAATTAGTTCTCTCTCATCATCACTATTCATCACCACTGTTTACTATTAAAAAATCAATTTTACCTTTATATATTCAAAGTAATTATATTTTCTGTTTTTCTCTATCATCAAATAAACAACAATGAAGAAGAAAGAAGAATGAGGAAGAAAGAAGAAAGAGGAAGAAGAAGAAGAAAAAAGAAGAAGAAGAAAGGAGAAGAAAAACGACGAAGAAAGGTGGTGAATATGGAAGTGAAAACTAATGATAGTGTTTGTGATGATACGAATGATGGTGAAGACTGTAACAATATGATAATTGAATTAACATGATAAACATGTCATAAGCATGTAACATGTTAATTTAATTGATATTTCATATATCATATGATATGATAATTAAATTATCATGATAAAGATGTTATTAGCATGTAACATGTAAACTTATCAAGATAACATGTAAACTTATCAAGATATCATAATAGTTATCATGATATTCAAATAGTTAACAATTAGGTAAACAGTATCGTTGAACAATATTAACGACACAATATAACATGCTATCATTGTTAGCACGTTAACATTCTATATAAACGTTAACAAAATAATAGTTATCATGTAAATTATTATTAGCACGTTAATAATATGTTTTTCGGTGATGAATAATGGACATCGACTTTTGATGAACAGTAACATCAATCTTGTGATGAATAGTATTATTATGTATTCTGTCAAGAAATGAGTATTTTTGGTTAATGACATTTTTAGTAATTATTCAAAAAGAAAAGGATATATTTGGTTTAATTATTTTTTCTCTTTCATACTTACCTAATTTATAAATTATCATTCTACTTAACTAATTTATGAGTCAACCATTAATATGAACTAAAATCATTCTTTTCAACTGTATCTAACTCACCCGCTATATAAAAATGGCATAACATGTTTTGTTAAATTAATACCACACGATTTGAATAATGTAATTTAGTAATTATTGTTCTACATATTTTTAATTTTGGTTTATATTTACGTGGCACGAAATAGTAGGGTATTAGAATATTTTTTATGGATGTGTAACAATTCTGGTATATATTTTCAATTATTTAGTTATATATTAGATTTATATGTTTATGATGCCATGCGTTTAACTTTGGTCTGAATAAATTTGTTTATCTTCGTTTTCTTTGTCTCTCTCTCTGGCTCTCTCTATATTTTGCTTTGCTCAAGCTTCCAACGGTCTGGTTAAATTTGTATAAGTGATAATTGTATAAAACAATGAGATTTTCGAAATTTTACAATACATGAACAATTAGTGGTGGTATCGCTTCTTTTTTTTGTCGCAAATAGAAAAAAAGGTACAATTGTATGTAAATCCAATGATTGGTCAATCTGTCCTGAACCACATCAATTTCTCTGACTCAATTAAGGAATCAAAAATCTGCTGCTCAGCAACACGCTCGACCTCTCACGCGTTGACATGCGTTTGTTCACACGCGCTAGTGAGCTGGGCTTTGGGCTTCTGAATCTTGGGCTTAGAGAGGGCTTTGAGTCATCCGCAGATTCCGATGCACCTCCGCATTGTTGCGACTGCTGGTTTACAACATTCCTCACGACTTCCGTATCTCGGTGCCTCCAAAAGAGAAGGTGTGAGAAACCTTATATTTGAAGTTTGAGGGTGATGTTCTCCAATGATAAACCTTAAAATGATACTTTAAAAATATTATATTTTGTACTTTAGTCCTTACTTTTTATAATTAATTAACTAATATCATAAAACTTTGATAAATAACTAAAAAAATACATATTAAAAATATTATAGGAAATATTAATTAATACAACTTTAATACAACATTACATATAAATGATAATAAAATACACAAACTAAATCATAAATTATAAACAAAATATCAATTTATTCAATAAAACTACTACCATAATGCTTCTATATATGATCAATCAAAATATTTCGAAGTGATAAATGAGCTTCTTTATTTTTAATCTGTAGATTACGAGCTAAAAATTGTTGAAATCGAGTATGTTCATTTATTACCATCTCAGCTGTTGCCTCTGGCGTTGATCTTGCGTCTCTGATCGGAGCGTTGACATCACGTTCATCCTCAATTATCATGTTATGCATTTTAAAATTTTATATGTATATATATAATTTATTTATAGAGATAAAAATGAAATATTAATAAGATATTAAATTATGAGAGTTAAAATGATAAAAACAAAAGTTATTATGATTTATATTAAAGCATATAACTGAAATGACTGAAATGCAAATAAAAAAGATGACACCTCAAATTTGAGGTATTGAACAGTGATACCTTAAATATAAGGTGTCACTGTTCAATACCTTAAAATTTGAGGTTTTAAGGTATCTCTTGAAGAACATAAAACCTTATATTTAAAGTTATAAGATATCTCTTGGAGATGCTCTCAGATTCGTTGGTTAGTAACACGCGCTGATTTGCGTTTGTTCTCACGCGCTCTTTGGTGTTTATTCACGCACGCTGATGAGCTGGGCTTTTTGTCAAGTATGTTTGGGCTTATAGAGGATTTTGAGTTATTTGCTGACTTTGTCACTGTCATCAGGTGATCGGAGACAGAGTATTTCGCCGGAGATTCATCCAAACCCAGATTTTGGCTCTGCAACAATCCTCAGGATCTCCATTGCCTCTGTGACTTTGGATTCGAGAGCAGCGACGGATTCGAGCAAGTGAATGACTTTGGTTTGGCCCATTTCAAGAAGCGTTCCTGTGATCTTTTCTGCTGAATCTGGCTCGAGTTGTTCCACTATCGGGTAAAGTTTCTCACCAAGCATCTTTTAAAAAACATTTCATCTGTTAAAAAAAATAACACCCATGGATGTATAATTATAAGGTAAACAAAACATTCACTTACCGTTCTCTGCTGTTCTGGAGTTGCATTTGCAAGTGATGTAGCTAGATCCTCATAAGCTTGTTTTCTGATATTCAATTCTCTATTAATCTCCTCCATCTGAATCAATGAAACAGGAAGAGAGACTTTAACCATTAATTAGTATCTCGGTTGCAAGTAATGTGCTGCACATTGTCCATGTGTGTATTTAGCAACTTATTACAGCTTTAGAAGCTTCCTCGGGTTTGGAGAACTCAACAAAGCCTGATCCTTTACTCACTCCACTAGAGTCTCGCATAACCTGTCCACAATTTGAACTGTTAAACCTTGTCACCTTGAAATCCAGTTCTGAAATTTGGGAAAATGGATTCAATGTTTTCTTGTGTGTACATACATACCTTGCAAGATGTTACAGTTCCATAGAGAGAAAAAAAGTCTTTGAGGATTTCATCAGTTACGCTTTTAGGCAGTTTCGTGACACACAAGTTATTCAAACCATGAGCTCTGTTGATAGCCTTTTTCAAACCTCGCTTCAGTTCGGATTCCCTCTGATATGTCTTTTTCGATTTCGTTACAAACCACTCCTTGTCCCCAAACTTCTTTCCATTTAAACCCTCAACAGCTCTCTCTGCATCCTCTGGATTCTCAAAATTAACAAAGCCATAACCTTTAGACATTCCTTGAGGAACTTCACCTTCCCTTATGATCACACAGCTCGTAGTAGGTCCAAACTCTCGAAAAACCGTGTTAAGCTCTTCATCAGTCAAAGACTTGGAGAGATTCTTGACATAAACATCAGTGAACATCACCTTTTCGCATGGATAATCTCTCTGAAGGAAAGGTTCTACGTATACTTCCTCTTCGTTAAGAAGAACTCCTTTCATATAATCAATGGCCTTGAGAGCTGATTCTTCATTGTCATACTGCACAAGGGCAGAGCCTTTTGACTGAGCAGAGGCATTAGTAGCCACTTTGAATCTAAGAATGGATCCAAACATACAAAATGTTTCATAGAGTCCTCTGTGATCGATGGAGCCTTCAAGATTCTGAGAAACGTACGGATCTTAAACATTGTCAAATTGGAGATCACAAAAACAAACAAAAGAAGCTATTTTTTTAGAGTTTCACATTTCACTAGCTTGTCACATAATATCCTGGAAATTAAAGAAGAAGCGATTGATGTGTACCTTTATAAATATATTACCAACTCCACGCTTTCGAAGACTTGGATTATGTACATAATGCATAACTCTAACGTCTTTGCCATTTATTTCCGTGAAATTCAGCATCTCCATTGCTCTTTGAGCTATCACCGGTCGACCAAGGAAGAAAATGAGAAGCATTAACATTAGAAATGGTAACTAAACACCAATTTTGTAATCGGAAACACACAAATTTTGAATAAACTACCCTCAAAAACTAAACTCTACAGCTTCCACTTTCTATGAACATAGAAAATTTAAGAAAAAAAGGATCTCACAAAACCTGTATTGTGCAATATTGAGTCAAGTTTGTGATGATAAAGATCATCTCAAGAAACCATTACTCTTGACTAAACTCTAATCAACTTAAGAACAGTAATATCAAAATATACCATCATGAGGATAGTCTAAGGTAACGTAGCCATAGCCAAGAGATCTCCTGGTGATCGGATCTCTGCAAACGCGAACAGAGCTCACACGACTCTCCTTCTGAAACGCATCAAACAGAACAGAATCCGTCACGGTCGGTTCAAGATCACCAACGTACAGCAACGTCCTCCCTGCTTCAGCCATTTCATAAATACTCTGTTCTTCCATAAACCACCACCACGTCATTTTTGTTCTTTTTTGAGTTTTGAGTTTTCTTCTCTCTTGCACTCGCCTCTTTTTATTCACTACGACGAACTCAACAAAGAAAAAAGTCAACGGAGGATCGAAGAGGAGAACGAGAAGATTTTGTGAATTTCTGGAACAATGAATCCTCAAAGTGGATATATTTTGGGGCTTATTTCGTTTCTTGTGTTGTTTTGTTATGTATATTTTGTTTTTTCTTGCTAATGAGAAGAGGTCAGAGGGAAGTAAATTCTATCGGTCACGGCCAGTCGTGTCTCTAATAACTTTTGAGTTTTATATAGAACAATTAACTTGATACTCTTTTGAATATTTTAATCTTTTCTTTGTTGTTTAGTTATATTTGTTCTTGTCTGGTGTGAAGCTAATGTTACCAACGTCGAATATTGTTTTACCAGTTAACAATACTATTATAATTCACGATGATTGGCATCATATTTAATTGTTGAACCATACCAATTATGTAGGAGGAATCCATTCACCTAAACGTGTATTTGGTTTTTTTACACATACTAACTTGGTATTTTTTTTGGTGTGCCAATAACACACTAAAGAATTTATGTCACCGTTTTCCTACTAAGACAAATAATCATTCATAATTTTTTTATTTTATTTTCAAAACGGAATAACCGTTGACGGGAAAAATGATACACCAGCGCGAAGCTACAAACACATGTATGATGTATCCAACCACCATTTAGCATTATAATATGAAAATTTTATATTACTATTTTCTCATTCTAACAAATAATTCAAATTTGGATTGAACTAATTATATGCTCTAGAGCTGCCCACAAGAAGACATGTGCATTGACTTCTCAACATCTTAACGTCATTCACTTTTGCTCACTCTCTCTATATAATCTTTCTCTAAACCAACCCTTAAAGCTTCCATCAATCTATCACCAATGGCTCCAAACTATCATCCTTCTTCGTCCACCATTTTCTTGATTCTGTCTCTTCACTTTCTTTTAGTTCTAGCCACCGGAAACAACCACATCACCGACAGAAAATCTCTCGAAATCATCATCGGCGTCGGTGAAAACTCCAATGAAAATTCTCCGGCGCCATCTCCGGATCCATCTTCAGAGCCAAAAGACTGTCCTCCTCCTCCTCCTCCACCTCCTCCACCTCCACCACGGCCACTTCCTCCTCCACCGCCACCGCCTCTACGATTCTCGAGCCCACTAATAGAGAAAGTGTATCCAGTCATCAAGAATTTCCAAAACCTAATCGAAGATGATCCAAAGAAGATACTCAAGTCATGGGTAGGCACTGACATTTGCGCTGATGACAAATACATAGGACTCGAGTGCGCTAAGTTCCCGGGAACTAACAATCTCGCACTCGCGAGCATCCAGTTCAACCAGTTTAACTTGGGCGGCAAGAAACTCCGGCTAGATAACTTCCTCTACAAGCTAGAAGAAGTTACCATCTTCCACGCAAACAGCAACAATTTCGTGGGCTCTGTTCCCAAAGTCAGCCACTTGAAGTACCTCTTCGAGCTTGATCTTAGCAACAACAAACTCTCTGGAGAGTTTCCAAGCTCTGTCTTGAAAGCAACGAACCTCACGTTCCTCGATCTCAGATTCAACTCTTTCTCAGGATCTGTGCCTCCTCAAGTTTTTAATCTCGATCTCGACGTCTTGTTCATCAACGACAACAATCTTGTTCAGAGACTTCCCGAGAATCTTGGATCCATCACTGCTCTTTACCTTACGTTCGCTAACAACAGGTCACAAAAGCCCCACACTTTCCTTTAGTTTTGATTGAATAAAATCTAAAAGGGTTTCAAAAGTCAATTGTTTTTAGTCGTTAGGACAATTACTCTGTTTTGTTTTCAAGAACAAAACAGAGTTGGTTTGGTATATGACATCACGAGAATATTTATGATTATATATGGAATAAAATATATTTTTGGATAAATTAAGTATCTAAATAATAAAAGGTTTTAATCTGGAATTTCGTGTGATGTGATGCAGATTCACGGGTCCTATACCCGGAAGCATAGGTAACATCAAGTCCCTACAAGAAGTTCTTTTCTTAAATAACAAGTTAACCGGTTGCTTACCATATCAAATCGGGAAGTTAAACCAAGCTACGGTTTTTGATGTCGAGTTTAACCAGCTAACCGGTCCGATTCCCTACTCATTCGGATGCCTAGAAAAGATGGAACAGCTCAATTTGGCTAGAAACAACTTTTACGGTACCATACCGGAGATGGTCTGCGAGCTTTCAGCCCTCAAGAACGTTTCTCTCTCGTTCAATTACTTTACGCAGGTCGGTCCAAAATGTCGAAAACTTATCAAGAAGAAGATTCTTGACGTTCGCATGAACTGTATTCTAGATCTTCCTAATCAGAGAACGCCATGGGAGTGCGCCAAATTCTTCATGCGGAAACAGAATTGTCCCAACTCCAAGTCTTTCTTTTATATCCCTTGTGGCAAGGATCCGCACCGGATTAAACCGGATCAAGAAGGATTAGACGGCCAGGCTTCGCGACCGGTATCTTACGGAGCTCTTAACCCGGACCGGATTCGGAATCTCTAGCCAAAACCAAGTTGTTTGTAATTATGATATACATGTTTTGATGTTTGCAAAGTTTGATATCTTGAATAAAATGTAATTTATTGTGTGTCATATGTTTGGGGTTATTACAAGTAAAATAGGTTTTGCCTTGATCGTACCGAGTAAAACAGGGGTTTGGTCTTAATTTGCGAACCGAACCGGAACATGTATAAATTAGTAATTAAGTAACCATTAGAGTCAAAAAGTTGAGAGAAGTGAGACAAAGGTTACAACAAACACAGAAAGCCCAAGTTGGGTCGGTTTGGTAGATGGATGACCATAGCCTTTGGTCGCTTCGGCTGTAAGTTTCGCAATCATCATAAGTTTTGAATCCAGTTTCGGCTCTTCATGCTTCTCACACGTCCCATACGGCATGTTCTCCTGAACACACACACACACACACAAAAAAAACATTTAACATCTTTTATGACATGAAAAATCCATATATTGACTACATAACCATATTATAGTACTAACCTTACAAGCGGCTATATCGTCACAGCCACAAAGTGAATGACCGTTTGCAACATCTACTGCTTTTGGAGCTCCTCCACCATCGCTTCTCTAAACCACACACACACATACAATATTAGAACAGCTCAAATGTTACTTAAACCGTATCAAATCTTACCTTGTAGAAATCGACTGCAATGAAGTTAGGCCAGCGTTGTCCCGAGGCTTCTTGACATTTCTTGATGGTTTCAAGAAGAGGAGCAGAGTTCTGTTTACAAGATCCAATCAAATCCGCAGTATCCGGAAAATAGTTTACTAAAACAAGTGATCTCGATTTGTCTCCCATAGCAGCTGATTCTGGTCTATTAGTACACACTCCACCCCTCATTCCTCCATTTCCGTCTACAAATCATAAAATTATATCAACTTTATATAAATAATACTACAATGTATTAATCTATGTGGACCATGTGTTTGAACATATACTCACATTGATTTTCTACCATGTATCTCCATAGAAACGCGATTCCTTCGGACGCTTCTTTGTGAGGATTTGACGTGAAAACTAACAACCGTTGGTTCTGGCTTATCATGTCATCTAGGGTTGGCCAATCCTCTCCGTTCTTAGGCATTCTTGTTACCGGGAACATGAAATTTCGTAAACCGGACGCATCAAACACTCTGGTTAAACCACGAGGAGATTTTACGTAGTCCTCGAGGATAAGTGTCACAACCACATCCTTGTTCTTGTCTAGAAACACTTGAAACTCCTTTAAAATGTTAACCGCCGGTTGCTATACATACAAACCAAAAACCAAATTAGAAACTTTGTCCACATTGGACCGGTTCGACTTATGTGTGAATCTCTATATATGGAACTTACGAACGCCGTGTAATTGAAGCAATTGCCGCCGTAAGAATGGCAAAGCCATATATCGTTTTGGAAGTCGTACATGTCAAGCATAAACCCTCTCACACCATTCTGCAAAACCCCACAGAATAAAATCAAAGATGGAATCAAATTTAAAGAAAAGATACATAATTTTGAATTGGGTTTATCAAAAGAATTAAACTTTTGAAATGGGTTTAAAATAATGAATAAGAAGAATATTTACAATGAGTTGGCTTGTAATTGAATCTTGTTGGTTGGAAGGAGCAAGAATCATAGAGCCTGTGCCTGATTTTGCACCCAATCGAGCAAATGAATTATGTGTTGTTAACCACGAGTATTTGTTGTAAGGCAACCCTTTTACCTTTGACACATAAACATGATGATCAAATTGATTAATCAAATATTAAAAGTATAATCTAAATGATTAAACGAGATGACAATAAAAGAAGGAACCTTGGAGGTGGGGTTAATAGGTTGCATTCGAGAGCATCTAGGTCGGAAATTATCGCTTGCGAGACACGATTCGCAGTGTAATCCTGGATCACAATTCTTGCTCACGATGCATGTTTCTCCTTCCTACCAAAATCAATACAAAGATCAACACTTTCTATAAATTCAACTGAAACCCACGATTCAGATAGGGGTTTTAGATTATGACGCATGCAGACACATTTATGATCAATAATTCTTGATGAGTTGAGAATGATTGTTACAAATTCATTACCTTGAGGGCTGAGGAAGGGCTAAAGATGAGAAAATATGGAATGAGGAGAGCTGTTAGAAAGAAGGCGAATCTCTGAAACATTGTCTTCTTTCTTGCTACAAAAGCCCATCAAAAGTTTTTAAAAGGAAAAAAGAAAAACCCCCCAAGGATTTTGGGAAGAAGCAACTACTTTGTAAACTCCAAAAGACTTTCAACCGGTGATTTGCATTTGCCTAAATCAACCAACAAAGAAGAAAATACAAACATAAAAGTCTAAATTTATCTTTTCATAAAAAAAAAAGTAAAAAAGAAAGGGAATCGCGGGCATTTCGGAGACAACGATGATATTAATAGCCACAGAACAGAAGAGAGGAGGTTTTTTTCGTTTATTTATCGGTTTTCTTTATGGCTTCATCTTTTTATACTTTTGCATGCCAATAGATTTTTTATTTGCTCTTTTCAAAAAGTATTTCTCACAGAATGAAAAAATATTATGAGACCGTCATCGTCGAATAAAATATCAAGTTATAAATAGCATGCCAGCTACATTTTTAAAGTGCTTTAATCTTCTGAAAATTACGTTTGTGCGAGTCCAAATCAATCATAGAATAACCTCAATGAGGGAGAATATAATACTAATTGAGTAACTTTTATTTTAGTATATAAAGATACAATAAAATGAAAAAATGGAAGGCAATATGAGATTTAGTTTCAGTGAAAATAAAAATTAATAATAGAATATTCTGTTTTGCATATTAAGAAGATCAAATTAGACAAGTTGGATACAAAGTAAATAAAAGATAAGGATTTTTATAGGAAAAAAAGTTCATACTAACCTAAAAAGTTTTTTTTTATCACTTTGATTAATAACAAAAGTTTTAAAACAGATTCAAAACTATGATTTCTAATTAAAAAAACAATAGTGTGGTATGTGATGATATGAAATTTGTGAAACCAAATCATGTGAAGAGATAAGATAGCCACTTGGAAGATTAGAAAAAACTACTAAACAACAAACCCTTGCAATCATTATGTTTAATTATGCTATACATCATGATTAAACATAAAAAAAACTAAAATTTAAAGTATAACAAGGAAACAAATATATTTTCTTCATGCAAATAAATTTTAGTTTTCAGAAAAGTAGAAGAAAACAATGGGTTATCTTAGAAAACTCCCAACATAACAATCTTATAATTGAGAAGTAGAACAAAACGTTTTTATATGTGTCAGGGTGGTTTAAGCAATTTAACGAACTTGCGGGTGATAACGTAAGAGAACGGTAAAGTAGGGTACTTTTGCTGAGTTTCGTCGTTTTCATCAGAAATAGGGAAAATCTTGGTCTTTCTCTCTCCGTCTCATTGTCACTGACTCCGACTGTCATTTTCTCAGGCGGACTTGCCATTGACCTTTCGTAAAGTCTCTCTCTTTCTCTCCTCTGTTCTCTTCTTGGCCAATGGCCATGGTGGCTTATAGGCAAGAAGCTCTCTTGCTCGCATTCATCGCATTTCTTGGAATCCAGTTGCCTTTACTCACGAAAGCAGGTTCACCACATAATCATCCATCTATCTTTTGAGAATCTTCTTCATGGGATTTTGGTTCGTGATTAGAATTTACTGATTCGAGGCTAGATTAGGAGAAGGAACAAAAGCTGATTTCTTGATAGTTTTAGGCTTTGGGGTTTTGCGAATATCGATGTGCATTCGTTTACTCCGTCTTTTAGTTTCTTTTCTTCTAGTTTTTGGTGAATTTGTTGCTTCCTTTCGAGTTCTCTAATGAGTTTTTCAGTCTATTTTCGTTAAGAGAAAGTAACTTTCAGAAATGGAAGCAATTTCGAAGGCTAATGTAATTAGACACTGGTAATTTTGTTTACAGATTGTCCATTGGACTTGACTTCATCTAACTTCACTCTCGTGGCTTCCGTGTGCTCGAACAATACCGACAGAGCCAAATGCTGCCGCTACATGAACGCTTTCGTTGCTGTATCTGTGGCCCGTTATGCTAACTACACAACAGATCTTGGAGTTGCATCAGATTTAACTGAAATCTGCATTACTTCCATCTCTAGAACCATGGAGCTGTATGGAATCCCAACGAATGCAACTGTCTTCTGTGGATTAGGGACCAAGATTCTGGTTAACTATGACTGTGAGGGTCTGACCACTGTAACGCAAATGCTTCAGTCCCCAAAGTTTGGAGATGTTTCTAGAAACTGCAAACTCCCGCTTTCACCGGGTGATCAGTGCAAGAACTGCTTGAATTCCGGTATCACCTACCTTCGTAGTCTCGTGGATACAGGAAATAACATCAAACTGAGTACTTGTCGAGATGCAACCTATGCTGCATTAGCAAGCCGGGTTGACAATTCATCGGCCCTTGAACTCGCTAGCTGCTTCTATAATGTGGCTGAGCTAAGCGTTGCTCCAGGTATAGACAGTTATGTGTGTCTAATATCCATTCGTAGAGTTTATAATCTTGTCATTGTTTCTATGTTGGAGAAGTGTCCTGTATAATCTTCTTAGTATCAGATCACAAATTTGATCAATCGTTTCTTTGTCTGATTTTCTTAATTTTTACTCAGACTCGTCTCCATCGTCGCTGAGCCCAGAAGCTTCTCCAAGTCCAAGCAGCAATGATCTTGGTTTGTCTCCAAGTGAAAATGACCATGCATATCACTTGACAATGGTTCCGACAATTGGTATCGCTGTTACAGTTTTTGCTGTTATAATGCTAGTAGTCCTAATAGTTCTTATCCAAAGGAAAAAACGGGAACTTGATGACTCCGAGAGCATTGATCGTAATCCAACAAAGACGTTTCCTTCTCCGCGCACCAATGCCAAAATTCTCGAAGGTGCGAAGTTATTCTAGTGTTCACTTCACTTGCAAGAGATGTTTTTGAGCACGTAAAAGAAAGAACGTGTGGTAAATTTTTGCAGGTTTGGCTTTTCGAAAATTCAGCTACAGGGAGATGAGGAAAGCAACCGAAGATTTCAACACGGTGATTGGCCGTGGTGGCTTTGGGACTGTTTACAAAGCTGTGTTCAGTAATGGCTTGGTTGCAGCTGTAAAAAGGATGAACAAGAGCTCTGAACAAGCAGAAGATGAATTTTGCAGAGAGATAGAGCTTCTCGCCAGGCTGCATCACCGCCATCTAGTTGCTTTGAAAGGTTTTTGCAGTAAGAAGAAGGAGAGGTGAATTATTAATTACACTTTTGCTTCGTTTGGTCATTTCTGTAGAAGAGATATTGGATTGCTACTCTGCGCATCTAACCTGAGGATTTTCAGGTTCCTTGTCTACGAGTATATGGCTAATGGGAGCCTGAAGGATCATCTACACTGTATGCTCATGATTTTCCAGATTTTCTTGCTATGTTATAGACTTGGGCTTGAGAATCTTGAACGTTGTTCTCCTTTTATGTACAGTACCGGAAAAACCTCCACTTAGTTGGGCAGCAAGGATGAAAATCGCAATCGATGTGGCTAATGCTCTGGTAAATTTCCAAACCTTTCATCTACATTTTCACAAAACTGATACTCTGTGGTTTGTATTGCTGTGCTTAGTTCTTGGCTGTATGTTCTTCTTTTGCTCCAGGAATACCTTCATTTCTACTGTGACCCGCCTCTCTGTCACAGAGACATTAAGTCAAGCAACATATTACTCGACGAGAAATTTGTTGCTAAAGTGCGTCTGCAACCTACCACATCAACCAGTACATTGACTTTTTTTAATTTGTTTCACCTTTTTGAAGAATTTGACTTGTGAATTTTCGCATTGCAGATTGCAGATTTTGGCCTTGCACATGCTTCTAGAGATGGCTCCATTTGTTTTGAACCTGTTAATACTGATATCCGCGGAACTCCAGGTCAGGATAACCCTAAATGGAACAACTAATCTTAAAATATTGAGCAAAATCTAAAACCGTGAAGTTTAAGTTTCAGGCTATGTAGATCCGGAGTACGTTGTAACACAAGAACTGACAGAGAAGAGCGACGTGTACAGCTACGGAGTGGTGTTGCTAGAGATCATAACAGGGAGAAGAGCTGTGGATGAAGGTAGGAACCTGGTAGAAATGTGTCAGCGGTTGTTGGTATCAGAATCAAGACGCATAGAACTGGTGGACCCGAGAATCAAAGACCGCATAGATGGAGAACAGCTCGAAACAGTTGTGGCGGTTGTGAGATGGTGCACAGAGAGAGAAGGCGTGGCTAGGCCATCGATCAAGCAAGTCCTGAGGCTGTTGTGTGAAAGCTGTGATCCGTTGCATCTCGGGCTTGCAATGGCAGTGGAGGAGGACAAAGGCCGGTCGCTGAGAGGTGACTCAAGTTTCGATATCAGGGGATTGGCTTCTTCCTCTAGTAATACTTCAAGGTCGCATTGTAGTCGGAGCTTTCTGCTTGAGACTGGCTCTCCTCACTCTCCACCAAATGGTCTCTCTTTCTGAGTCAAGTCACTTCTAAAAATTTGACTGTTTTTGTTGATCAAACTGGCTTTCTAATTGCAATTTTGGAAGATAAATATGTTTTTATAACGGAGTCAAGACTGATTTAGTTGATAGTCTCAGTAATGGCAACACCCGAGTTATGACAAGCGGAGACCAAATCCCTAATAAAAGGTCAAGTCATATATAAACAACGATGTCTTTGAGAAATCCCAACAAACCAGAAAACACAAGAAAAAAGGATTATCTAAACCTAGACTAATGAAGCAAGGGTACAACAAAATATGTCATTATTCATAATGAAAATTTCTCCTACTCTGTAACCTAGATTTTCACTCAATAATTTGTCTTTTATCTCCTGTACAGGTAGCTCTATCTCCTATTACATTAGCCCCATGCATAGTGGTGTCTGGTTTTGATTAGTTCTTGTTGCTTCGTTCTGATTTTACCATGGACCGGTTAGTGTCCTTCTCAAGCATTGCCTTTTGCTGCCCCACGGTTGCTTCGATGATTCCTTCAGCTGCCAATCCAAAAGCAGTCGTTGTGAACAACATAATCAAATCCAACATGAGATCACTCAAAAAGACTATTCAAAAAGAACAGGCGAGAAGCAGAAAATGTTGAAAAAAAATATTCGAGTTTGAACAGCAGACAAAAAAATGAGGCATAGAATTGACTATTAGACGTACAGTCAGGCAGAAAATGTCTGCAGACAAAAAAATGAGGCATAGAATTGACTATTAGACGTACGGTCAGGCAGAAAATGTCTGGATGTGAGCGACTATTAGACCTTCTATGTTTCAAAATTTGGTCTTTTCTGATGCCGCAGAGTCAAGGGTTTGAAGATGAACTTAAATTAAAGAAAAGTAAAAGTCCTCAAACAATTACCTCATTCTTCTGCATTTCCATCATTTCAGCCTGCAACATAAGGAGAAGCTTAATATCATAACCATGCGGCTAAATTCTGTGAGGGCGAAGCAGGAGAAGAAATAGAGACAGGTCGTAAATGTCAGGAAAGGAAAGATACCTGCTTTCTCTGCAATTCTTGGTTCACTTTCTTAAGCTTTTCAATTTCGGCTTCCAGTTCCAAGGTATAAGCCTGCAAGCAATGAGTAATGAATACACAGGGCAAGATAAAACATCCTAATCTACAAGTGGTTCGAAAAAGAATAAATTTTTGGTTATATTATGTTTCACTTTAATTCAGTCTTGCAAAAGATAAGACCAAGATAGTCAAACCATACAAAAGGGTTTATAAAACGGTTTGGTTAAAGTAATAATCACCTGCTTTCGAGCTCTTGATCTAGCAGCTGATTCCCTGTTCTTGATCATTCTCCTTTGCCTCCTCTCGATAACCTTCTCTAGACCCGTATTGCTTCTTCTTCCTCGATTAAGCACATACGGAACTGGTGACAAAGAATTGTTTTCTGCGCTGCTTGTCCCTGGAGAAGTTGCTGCAACAGTGACCCCGGCTCCTCCGAAACTAGCTAATCCATTATTATTGTTGATGGAGTTATTTGCAGCCCCGGCGTAATTCTTGTTGACCATACCCACAGGCCCAGCAAATGCTACGTTTGCTTGTTTAGGAAAAATGGTCTGAGGCAGCCGCTGCTGCTGCTGCTGTGGATGTGGCTGATTCAGCTGCTGTCGTGGCTGCTGCTGCAACTGCAGTTGTGGCTGTTGTTGAAACTGCTGTTGTGGCTGCTGCTGCATTGCCCCACCCACTTTGAGGCCTAAACCAGGTGGCTGATTCAAGATCATGGAGTCATTATTGCCATTGAATGATATGCTGTTTTGATTTGGCTGACCAAACCCAAAGCCTAATCCTCCAGCAGCGCCGTTGTTACCATAAAACCCGTTGTTATTGTTTCCATTGACCTGACCCATCTGCTGAGTACAGTTATCTTCTCTAACAACTCCGGCACGAAACAGAAATTCTTCAAGTGTCATCTCCCCTAAAGTCTGTTGCCTCACAGGAGGCGCATTCGACTCACCACCGCCTCCGCTGCTACCTCCCATATTACCGTTCCTACTGTCCTTGGTGATCAAACATTTCCAGACCTCATCAACAGTCTTCTGACTAATCGTTCTAGGCAATGTCAACGAGCCTTGCCTCTGGAGATTCCCACCAGGTTGTGCTACCGCTGTAACAGCTGGAGAAGTCATGGCCATGGCCTGAGCTTCCTCAGCAGTCCATATGCTCTTCAGGAGTTCATCCATGTTCATCGACCCGAAATCTTTCCCCGGTCCACCTAGTGTGTTCTGAAGCTCATCAAATGTTAAGGAATAAACCGAGGACTGCCTCGCCAAGGGAATGGCACTACCCGTTGGCTTCATCTGGTTACTCCCTTCCCCTCCCTGAGGACCACCACCTCCTAAGTTGTTGAAATTGATGTGAGTTCCCATATTCCTTGTGTTCACTCTTTCTTCCTCTTCTTCTCCTTCAGTGAAAGCAAAGCATCAAAGCCCCAAAAACCCTTCTTCTTCCTTTTGAGAGGTAAAAGACCCAAAAAAGTCGAGTTTAAAATAAAGAGATTAGAGTCATAGAGTGCATTACACAGTGCTAAGAGTCCAAGAAACAGAGAAGTTCTAAGGATATTAAAAAGAACTGAGCTATGTGTCACATAATGCATGTTCACATGATCACATCCATATAAGAGTAAGTAAAACCAAAGTAAAGCTGGACAAACCACATAAAGGTGTGTGTACAAATGTAAAAGCAGAGTAAAGTCAATCAATAATGGCAGATCTTTGGATAACGTTTGTAATAAATAAATACAATCGTAATTTGACGACTTTTGGAGGATAATAAATTCATACCAGATACAGTGTTTCCTCAAAACCTTAAAAATGAACATATCAGAAAAATTAAACAGATAGTTTGAACAGATTACTTATCACATATTGTCTGTGTCTTCAGAGAATACTCAAAATCCAGAAATGATTTACAAGCAAAGTAAATAAACCAATCTGGAAGAAACTCAAATCATATAAACATCTCATGGAATTCGACAATGATCCAAAGTATAATCGAAAAACGCAACAAGCATGAGAAAGATCTATTCCAAAATCCAGCGGAAAACTAACCCATTTCTCTTTACAAAAAATCGATCGAATCAAAACCACAGAATTAAAAAAAAAAAAAAAAAAAAACCTAATAGCAGCAACAAAATCAGATCGATAAGACTCTCTTTGACTCTGATTTCACTACGAAAAGCTACTTCGTCACTACATGTAGCTAATTCAAAAACCCACACGCGCAACAACAACAACAACATAACTGAACAGATATCAAGCAGAGAAAAGACAACAAAAATTGGCAAAGTGGGATGATCCGACAAAGACAGATCCAGATATAAGAAACGGATAATAAAAAGAGAAAAGAGCTGATATATTATCTTACCTAATTAATTTCTCGAAAAAAAATAGATTCGCGACTGCGAAAACACCAGAGAAGCTGCTGGGAGAGACGACAAGTGTGTTGCTGCCGCCTCGACACGAGCAGCCATTTTAAGGGTGAAAGCTTTTTTTTCCGGAATTTTTTTTTTAATTATTTTTTTTTTATTCTTTTTTTTTACACTATTTTTATTCTTTAACAATATTATTTACAACTAAATATTCATAATTTGTGTCAAGGTATAGCTACGTGGACAAATGATAAAAAGAGTCTTACGATTTTAAATGCTTGTTAATTTTATAACCAATTATATGGCGCAACGTGGTAAGCAATTAGCCGTTCGCTTGTTTTTGCCCTCTGACAGTGAGGATTCGAGTGGTTGGAGATCGCTTGGATTTTTTTGTTTATGATCTCGGAGTATAATCATAATTATTAATATTCTTTGTTTTTGGTCCTATTAATGATTATCATTAAGTCCATATTTGTTCTTTTTGTTTTCCTAATTTAAAAAAAAAATCCAAGTAATCTTCAAAATTAACAAGTGGCGAAATCACAATTTATGGTGAAAATCTAGATTTCTCTTCTTCCAAAATGTTTGACGATAAGGATGGTATTTTATTCAACACTATACTAAATTCATCCATTAGATAAGACTACATACATAAGTATCCATATTAGACTTTAAAAAAAAAATCCATATTAGACTTAGTCGAGAAAAAAGGGTCCAGATTAGACAGGATATTTTCCATACATGTTAGAAAAGGAGAAGATACAACTGACAGTAGAATAGTAATTATAAGCAACAGAAATTATACATTTTGATTTATTTTGATGTATATAGTCCCATAAAAGTGATCAAAGTGATTTAAATCAGATGATAATATATATATATATATATGCTTTGGATTAGTGATGTATATTCCTGTCTCTAGAGTAATATATTAAACTATTTTATGTAACTTTATTTACATATGAAGAATTACTGTTTCTCGAATTATTCAATCCTTAAAGTGTTCCTTATCATAGAGAAGTGGTGGTGCTTTCTTTTTAGGTGCCCATTTTTGGTTACAAACCAATGAAAATATCACACCACTCTTTAAAACAAAATAATAAAGAACACTGTTGCGTGGAGTCTAAGATCATCACTTCCAAATACAGAAAATTAATTTCTTTCCTCATTTGGAATTATTACAAGTTTTGCTTATTTGCTTTTTATTTAAAGAGCCCATCCACTTTTGCCACGTTAGACCGATCGCCGACGTATAGAGTGAGCATAAAACCATTATAGAGCCCATCAATAAGTTCAGGTAATCATCTCATTCTTATATATACACTATGGTTATTAAACCTTTGCTTAGTTCGACTCGAGACTCGAGGAATGTAATGTTTGCTTCTTCAAAATCTGTAAACTTGTACTATTATGTTTTTTCTTCAATGTGAAAGAAATGTAAGGAAACTCGAGTGAAGTGATAACTGATAAGTCAGTTCATATCCACTAACGCTTGACCTCTTTTTAATTTTTACAAATCCCTATAACCACAAGGCTGATTCGTTTGACAAAAAAGCACATCCAAGAATACTCAGAGAACAAATGTGTGTTGTTGAGCTTCTCTGAATTGACTATTATAAATGTCTTAAATAAGACCTCAAAGTCTAGTTCGGATTTTGTTCCCAAAATTCTGAGTATAAAACCAAACTTTAAAATACTCCAAAATAAGATGAAAACATAAAATAAAGAATAAGAAAATAATGCTTATAGATTTTTTATAATTTTAGTCTTATAAGTATGATCTTAATTGATTTTATTATAATACTTCAAAGATCCCAAAAAATGATTGCTTGTGCTACGATACAAGATAGATTAGTCATGATTAAAACAGTTGGTAAGGGCATATGTGAAGAGGACCTCGAGAAAGTAGAAACTAAAGTGTTCACTTAAGGATAAACTAATGTTGGGATATTCACATCTCATCCCAATGTTAGTTTGCCTTTTTTTCAATGCTCCTCATTAAAATAAATGCTCATCTTTCGCTTTGTTATAGTAATCAATCCTCTTGTTTCACATGGTTTAGCCGCCTTGGGCACTACAAGGACGAATCTGTTTTAGCTATTCTTGATTTGATTTGATCCGACTCGATTTGGATTTAATTCTCCATGTTCTTCCGTTGCATTTTATACAAAACATATGGTTCCAAAACACACATTTCATCCAAAAATAATGAAGTTTTGAATGTAAATAAAATACAAAAACAATTGACCCATGAACATGAGACATGACTTTGAAAGGTTAAAGTGTGCAACTTTTTCCTCTTTCTCATCAGTCAAATTCCTATAATGTAATTCTCTAAAAGCCATTGATTCGCTTGTGTTTATGGGTGTTTTCTCCAATCCCCGAGGACCTCAAATTGGATCAATCCACGAAGGATCGCCTGTAGCCAATGGCTCTCCTTCGTCTCCTTCCTCTTTCAAGCGAAAAGTTTCAAGCTTGTTGCCAATCTGCGTGGCTCTTGTTGTCCTCATCGAGATTGGGTTTCTGGGTCGGCTCGATAATGCTGCTTTGGTCGATACGTTGACGGATTTTCTCACCAAGTCGCCTTCGGGATCGCTGTCTCCGATCAGGCCATCCGATTTGAAGGTTGGCTCGGGAATGGAGAGATGCGAGGAGTGGTTAGAGAGAGAGGATTCAGTGAGTGACTCTTAGGATTTCAGTGAAGATCCGATTTTCATCTCCGGTGGTGGCAAGGTTTGTCTCAGATCATGTGTTTTTGTTTGTTTTATATTCCTCTATAATCAAATGATGAATCTAATTTATCTGGGAGATGGATTGTTCAATACTATGCTCTCTGGGTATTCTTAGCCTCTTAGTTCCGATCATGTTCTTTTGGACTAACACAAAATTAGCCAATGCTTGTTAGCTAGTAGTAGACGACAATAGTGTGAATTTGTGACCATGGAATCAGCAAAGGTCATTTAAGAGTTTACTCTTTGCCAGTTATAAGCATTGGTGCGGATACAACGATTTGAATCTATTGAAATCAAGAACAATTCATTCCATATTGTACTTCTGTATGATAGCAAGTGAAGCAGAGAACAAGTGTTGTGGTCCATGTTATTGACTTTCATCCTCTCTCTTATAGGACTTTGAATCGTGGTCGATTGATTGCGCAATTGGAGTGAGTTCAGATAAGAAACCCGATGCAGCTTTTGGATTAGGTCATCAACCTGGAACACTCAGTATAATCCGTTCCATGGAATCATCAAAATACTACCAAGAGAACGATCTTGCTCAGGCAAGACGGTGGGTAAGCACAATCTTAGCAAGACTTTATACTCTTTTTGTTTTTGCATACATTGTCGTAAAAGTATCTGACTTTTATGTTTTCTTGTTCATCAGGAGGGGTCATGATATTGTGATGACAACTAGTCTGTCATCAGATGTTCCCGTTGGGTACTTTTTCATGGGCGGAATATGATATGATGGCTCCTTTGCAACCAAAGACCGAGAAAGCTCTCGCTGCTGCTTTTATTTCCAACTGTGGGGCTTGCAATTTCAGGCTGCAAGCTCTTGACTTGCAGCCTTAATAAAGGCGAATGTTATGGCGGCTGTTATCGGAACCGGGATGGGAGAGGTATGTATTGTGCGCATTGGTAGCGAACTGTTCTGAGTCACAACCATATCAAGTCATTGAAGTTTCTTAACCAATAACTTGCGGAGATAAATAACGTAATTTCATTGTAGTGGAGAAGGTTGAAGCTCTTTGGCACTACAAATTCAGTCTAGCTTTTGAGAACACCAACGAGGAGGATTACGTCACCGAGAAGTTCTTCCAATCTCTCGTCGCCGGTATAGATAGCTATACTTCTCTCTCTCTGCTGATCTTGCAAATTTTAGTGTCTGCTCCATTAGAAGAATTAGCATTTGTGTTTGTTGTCTGCAAGGGTTTGCGAAACAAGACCTGAAACTCTAATATGGTTTGTCTATTGCTACGGTTAATTAGGAGTTAGGATAAACGAAACCAATGCCTGAAATTTTGTAGAGGATTAAGGGAAAGTAAGCGAGCGATAATGGCCTTATGTTGTAGTGCCCATAGATCCCTCTTAGGTACTGTTTCTTATCTGAATTTTCTATCATGTCATGGACGATGATATTCAGATTTATATACTTAGACCATAATATATGAGAGCATTGAGGCTGCCCTGTGTTTCTTTTTTTGATAGTGATAAGCATTATATGATCAATCTTCCTTTAGGATATAGAAGAATTTGCACCTTCTCCTGACTCATTCCTTCACATCAGGCAGATGTGATGAGGCCATCGAGCCATCACCTGACCCAAAGGTCGTTCCCGAGCTCAAAGAAGCACCAATGACCCGTTCCAAGGCAAGGAGGCTTAGGGAAGGGTTCAACTTGGCCGTGGAATCATTACTAAGTACCATGGAGCTTGGAGATGCATTCAAAACCGAGCCTCAAGAACAATACACGCGAGACAGCCCCAAAGGACCCGACTTAGACATAATGGAGGGTTTCGCGCGTCTGAGCCTCAAAGAAAGCCGGCCTCAACTAGAATCAGGTATACATGTTTACTTGGCAGGAAATGGAGCACAGAACACCAAGAATCTCGAAGAGGCCGCATCGGACCCTCAAGATACAACCGTTCCAAGACTCGGAGCCGCTAGCGAGCCAACAAGACCCAAGGAGGAACATGAAGAGGGACGCATGAAGATACTTGAAGAACTCGCAGGACACGACGTGGACAGGACCCTAGATGAACTAAACATCAAGACTAACGAAGGAAATCTCAAGGCTAACGAGCGAATCAACGAGATAACAAGCAAGCCCACAGCCGGCCGCAATCAGGTATTTTCCATTTATACGATTTGTGCAGGTAACATGGGAGTATCCTAGTGGTGTCTAACACCCTAGATGGCATCAGAGGTGCACGGAACAAGTCCAGAAAAGGTTGCACACGATTAGTTTCTTTTCCTTTTTATTTTTAAGTGAACTTTCCATTTTTGTGTCCAAATGAGACGCTTTGCCATTTTGCTTTATTTTTTTTTTTTACAAGTCTTGTTGTTTTGAGTCCTTAGTGTCGTTTTTTTTTCATTGAGTCGAACCCTAGAAGGTTCAAAGCTGATGGACTATTTATAAAGTCCCACATGCAGCTCTTGTACTTCAACCCTTTTCCCGATATCAATAAAATAACGCCGTTTTCTTAGCTTGTGCCTAAGAGCTTTCTAGCTTGTTCTTGCGTGAGAGATTCACCAAAAGTTGAGCCGCAGTAACAGAGATCCGTTCATAGTCTCTGTGGTGCCTTCGATCCACTTCCAAACCCCTAACCGATCCCTCAAGAGAGAGCGCTAAAGCCAGCTTGACAGATCCCATCTCGATTCAAGTCTTGTGGAAGCAAGCCTTGTCTTACCATCTCCATCCACCGAACTACACGAGAGAGCGTCATAGCCAGCGTGTTGTTCCCACCAAGCCATCGATTCCGCAATCATATAAGCCTCACCCGAGTCTTATATCATTTTGGTATCAGAGCCAAAGGTTCCTGCCTTTGGTTTTCTATCCCTTACACTCTTGCACTTTTATTCATACTCGTTTAGCTTATTTTGATTCATAAAACCAAAAAAAAACCCTAGAAAAATTTAATTGCTTGCTTTCATATTCATTAGTCAAAAAAAAAAAGAAAGAAATTGTTGCATTGCTAGATTTTAGACCGTTAATCCTTGTTCTTTGCATACTAAAATTTGAAAACCATATAAAAGTTATTTAGTTTCATTTAAGTAGCGAGTCTGATAGTTTAGCGTTCTAATATCCTTAATATTCGGTGGTACTTTTGACTAGTTGTTGTTTTTGTTGAGTACAAGGACACCAAGTGAGGCTAACTAGTATCATGGCCGAAGGAGAACCTGTTCCAAACGATGCTCTTGTCCAAATGATGACCGCAATGAGAGAGGAGTTGAGGAACATGACTCAACAAATGGGAAACATTCGGCAAGAACTTGGAGCCAGGATAGACCGAGTTGAGGCACAACCAAGGAGAGCCCCAAATCGAGGAGCATAAGTGCCAGCCGGTGACGCGAGTGATGATGAAGAGATGCCCGAACTAGGGGATGAATTTCCACCTGATCCTCTTCAGCATCGGCAGCAGAGGAGGCCGGATCCTCTAAGGAGAAACCCAGCTAGGGTAGCCGATACCCGAGAGCAAACTCATGATCTCAAGCTAACACCTCCTACTTTTGCAGGAAAGTCGGACCCCGAGGCATACTTGGATTGGGAGAGGCGACTAGAGCACATCTTTGAGTGCTATGGCTACGCTGAACGCAAGAAGGTGGCTGTTGCGGCTGCACAGCTTACTGACAACGCCTTAGCATGGTGGGACAGAAACGTAGCCGAGAGAAGGAGGCAACGCTTTGGGCCAGTCGTCACTTGGAGCGACATGAAATTCCTCCTACGACTTAGGTATGTACCTGAACACTATCATAGAGACTTACAAAAGCGTTTTCGCAAATTGTCTCAGGGAAACAGAAGCGTAGATGAATATTTTGAGGAGTTTGAGAAGCTGATGAACTCGTTGGAGTTAGAAGAATCGGAGGAAGCCTTGATGGCGCAGTTCATCGACGGTTTACAAGAAAGGATAGCAAGAAAGGTGGAGAGAGCTCAATATAGTGGGTTACACGAGCTATTGCACCTTGCCGTTCAAGTGGAGCAGCAAATCAAGCGCAAGACCGCTCTTACTAGCCGCAACGGCACGAGCCAACCATGGAACGCCAGCAGCTCTAAGCCGGTAGACAAAGGCAAAGCCGTGGAGATTGAATCAAGATTCAAAGGCAAAGGCACCGAGGCTCCCAAATTCAACCGAGCCGAACAAGGTAAGTCCTCTAACCCCACATCAAGAACTCGTGATATAACTTGTTTTAGATGTCAAGGCAGGGGTCACATGTCAAGGGAGTGCCCAAATCAGCGAGTCATGATCATTACCCCTAGTGGTGACTATGAATCGCAAGATGAACAAGAAGATGAATCTAACGACTTGGGGGAGGAGGTTGAATATCCCGACACTGGTGAACTCTTAGTGACTCGCCGAGTGCTAAGCGTCCTAGTTCACCCTGAGGAGACAGCCCAAAGAGAGAACATATTTCATACTAGATGCACCGTCAAGAACAAGGTATGTAACCTTATCATAGATGGTGGTTCATGTACTAACGTGGCTAGCAAGTATATGGTGGACAGGTTAGGTCTTGAGAAGACAAAGCATCCTCGTCCTTATAAGTTAAGGTGGTTAAACGACCAGACCAAGCTCAAGATCTCCGAGCAAGTGTCCATACCGTTTAGTATCGGCAAATACCATGATCAAGTCACTTGTGATGTGGTGCCCATGCAAGCCGGACATCTATTACTCGGTAGACCATGGCAATTCGACCGAGCCACGACCCACAATGGCCGCACCAACCATTACTCTTTCATGTACAAGGAGCGTAAGTACAATCTTGCGCCTCTAAGCCCCACCGAGGTACATGAGATGCAAGTGCACATGAACAAAGAATCCGAGCTAAGTAAAAGCAGTCTTTATTTATCATCTAGTGATGTTTACAAAACCATGAGTGCCAATGGCACCGTGCTACTGATGATGTTTAAAGAATGTCTAAGCGCAGGTTTAGGTGACCCTGAGATACCATTTGAAGTGCAAGCGATTCTGAACAAGTTCAAGGATGTATTTCCCGAAGAGATACCACCAGGATTGCCACCACTTCGTGGAATAGAGCACCAAATCGACTTAGTTCCCGGTTCAGCTTTGCCCAATAAGCCAGCTTATAGAATGAACCCCGAGGAGACTAAGGAGCTAGAGAGACAAGTACGCGACCTAATGGACAAGGGTTATATCCGTGAGAGTCTCAGTCCTTGTGCTGTGCCGGTTCTCTTAGTACCCAAGAAAGATGGTACATGGAGAATGTGTGTGGACTGCCGTGCCATCAACAACATCACCATCAAGTATAGGCACCCCATTCCACGCCTAGATGACATGTTGGACGAGCTAAGCGGATCCACAATCTTCTCAAAGGTGGACTTAAAGAGTGGATACCACCAGGTTCGAATGCGTGAAGGAGACGAGTGGAAAACCGCATTTAAGACCAAACAAGGCTTGTATGAGTGGTTAGTTATGCCTTTTGGCTTGACTAATGCACCAAGCACCTTCATGCGCCTTATGAACCAGGTTCTTCGAGCTTATATAAATAAATTCGTAGTTGTTTATTTCGATGATATACTTATATATAGTAAGAACCTTAATGAACATCTTCAACACCTCGAATTAGTGCTTAAAACACTTCGCAAGGAAGGCCTATATGCTAACCTTAAGAAGTGCACATTTTGTACTAACAAGCTTGTTTTCTTAGGCTTTGTAGTAAGTGAACAGGGATTACAAGTAGACGAGGAGAAGATCAAGGCAATACGCGAGTGGCCTACACCAACTACAATCGGTCATGTTAGGAGTTTTCATGGCCTGGCCAGCTTCTACAGGCGTTTTGTACGAGATTTCAGTACGGTGGCCGCCCCACTCACCGCGGTGATCAAGAAGAACGTGCCATTCTCATGGGGGCCAGCCCAAGATGCAGCTTTTGAAGCCATGAAGAGCCGATTAACACAAGCACTTGTCTTAGCCCTACCAGACTTTGACGAGATGTTTGAGGTGGAGTGTGATGCTTCAGGGGTGGGAATTGGAGCTGTACTACACCAAAGAAAGAGACCAGTGGCATTCTTCAGTGAAAAACTCAGTGGAGCCACACTAAATTATCCCACCTACGACAAGGAGTTATATGCCTTAGTCCGAGCATTGGAGACCTGGCAGCATTACTTGTTGTCCAAGGAATTCATCATTCATACTGATCACGAGACTTTAAAGCACTTAAGAGGACAAACCGCACTTAAGAGGCGCCATGCTAAATGGTTGGAGTTCATAGAGACTTTTCCTTATGTGATCAAATACAAGAAAGGACAAGAGAATGTGGTGGCCGATGCACTCTCAAGAAGGCACACATTGATATCTACTATGGAGGCCAAGGTACTCGGCTTTGAGCATATCAAGGAGCTATACAAAGAAGATCCCGAGTTCGGAGAAGCTTATCAAGGCCATGGCAAAGGAGCTTATACCTCATATCACCTACACGATGGGTTTCTTTTCCGAGACAAGAGACTATGTGTTCCACAAGGGTCTTTGAGGGAGCTATTGCTGAAGGAAGCACACGGTGGAGGTCTCATGGGTCACTTTGGAGTGGACAAGACCCTGGCCGTAATCGCAGACCATTTCTTTTGGCCGCATCTCAAGAGAGACGTGGAGAGACATTGCTCACGCTGTGTTACATGCCATAAAGCCAAGTCCAGGTTACATCCTCATGGTCTATATTTACCTTTACCTATCCCTAACGCCCCATGGGTGGATATTTCCATGGATTTTGTACTAGGCTTACCCAAGATCAGGCACAAAGACTCGATCTTTGTTGTTGTTGATCGCTTTTCAAAAATGGCGCACTTCATACCCTGTGACAAGACTAATGATGCCACACAAACCGCGGACTTGTTCTTTAAAGAGGTGGTGAGATTACATGGAGTGCCAAGGACGATCGTCTCTGACCGAGACTCTAAGTTCTTAAGCCACTTTTGGAGGACCCTTTGGAGAAAGCTTGACACCAAGCTTCTATTCTCTACAACTTGTCATCCCCAAACGGATGGGCAAACCAAAGTGGTAAACCATACATTATCTACTTTACTTAGGGTCACTCTTGGTCGAAATTTGAAAACATGGTTAGATTGTTTGCCTTTCATTGAATTTGCTTATAATCATGCTACTCACTCGGCTACTAAGATGTCTCCTTTTGAAGTTGTGTATGGATTTAATCCGCTGACGCCTTTAGATCTCTCTCCAATACCCCAAGCTGAGCAAGTTAATCTAGACGGCCTCAAGAAAGGGGAATTTGTGAAGAAGATACATGAAAAGGCCCGAGATAATATAGTAAAGAAAACGGAGGAATACAAAAGGAGAGCTGATAAAGGACGCAAGAAACTTGTATTCGAACCAGGAGAGTGGGTCTGGTTACATATGCGACCAGAAAGGTTCCCACAGCAAAGGAGTTCCAAGCTTGCCCCTCGCGGAGATGGGCCTTTCAAAGTGCTTGAGAAGATCAATGACAACGCCTACCGATTAGAGCTCCCAGGTGA